CCCGCGAGTGGGACGTGTTCAGGTGCCGCAAGTGCCAGGGCTTCCTCTTCGAGCCCGTGTCGCTGCCCTGCGGACACACCTTCTGCAAAAAGTGCCTCTGGAGCGGGCGCGCGGCCGAGCCCCGCTGCGTGCTGTGCCGGGAGGAGGGCGGCGCGGCGGCCGGGCAGCTCCTGCGGGTCAACGTCATCCTGAGCAGCCTGCTGGCCAAGTGGTTCCCCGGGCAGGTGAAGGCGTCGCGGCTCCGCCACGAGGGGAACGCGCTCTACAAGGAGAGGAAGCTGCAGGCTGCGCTGCAGAAGTACAACGAGGCGCTCAGCCTGGGTAAGCGCGAGCGGAGCGGGCCGGGGGGCGCGCAGGGAAAGTGGGTCAGGAGAGCAGCGCGTTGCATAAGCCCCGGAGCCGGCGAGTCCAGCCCGGGCGCCCTGCCCCCGCTCCCGGGCCGGTTGTGTAACCGGGGAGCGCGGGGAGCGCAGCCCGCGGGGCGCCCCCGCGCCGCGGAAACTCCGCTGCCCCGCGCGGGACCCGGCGGCGCGCGGAGAACCTCACCCAAATGGAGGGGATAGCGGGCAAAAGGCTGCGGGCTCGGGACGCGGCACTGTACCCAAGAGCATCCACCGTTCCTCCTTATTCTAGTGTCCCGTTGTTTCCTACAGCCTTGCAGGATTTTTACCTCCCACTTAAGCACTTTCATCCTAGTAACTTGAAACTTCAGTCCGCACGGCGCGAGCCTGGCGCACGCCACCTTGAACGTTCCCTTTGCGCTGCTGTGGCCCCTCTGAGCCTCTGTCCGAGCTCGTAATTTATTGTACGAGTGTCTCGACATTTATTTATGCAATGTTCTCTGCAGTTATATAATGAGTAGCTGACATGTTGTCTGGAGTTGCCCAAAGAGGTTGCCACATTTGATTTAGTACATAGTTATTTAAGGAATAGATATTTTTGGCTTATTTGTTTGTTGCTTTTTTTTTAAAAGGAGTTCTAGGGAATAAAGTTTTTGTAACTATTTCTTAAATAATTGTAATAACTCATGTTTTTTTCTATTCGCTACAGCTCCAAATGACCACTTACTCTACAGCAACCGGTCCCAGATTAACTCTACTTTGAAAGCTTGTGAAGATGCATTGCACGATGCAGAAACAGCATGCAGGCTGCAGCCATACTGGCTGAAAGTAAGTGCTGACTTCAGCTGCACTTTGTTTTAAACCTTTATGCTGCATCAGTTACAAAACCGTTACACTGTTCAAGGAGAACTAAATTTGAGAGGTGCTTTAAGCCTTGTAACTTCTTTGACTTCTGTGACTTACAGACATTCAGCTATGCCATTCTTGTCCCTTCTGGTGTGAGGGAGGGGAATGATAAGCTAGACATACCCTTTCTGGAGGATGAACTACTAAACACTCTATAGCCCATCTCAAGTTCATGAAGAAGTTTTAAAAAAAGAGTGCTGTGCTTACATTTTTCTATAAGCTGTAATAGCACTAGTTTAGTACATTTTTCCAAGACAGAATATGAGTTTCCTCAAGTTTCAACTGTGCCAGTGACCAGCTGGGTGCAGGAAGATGATACTTAGTGGAGTTAGCGAATATCCTATTTCTCTCTGTAAGAGCTTATGTATTTGAAGAGTTTTCACGACAAAGTTAATTCACGTTTGCAAATCCAGACACTGGTGGTACCAAGGCATAAGAGACTGTTGTAAGGAATTTTCTCTGCCTAACCTTCTTTTTTTTCCTCTGGAAAGCTCTTTTGTAAATTCATCTTGCTTTAATTGAATATTCTTGCAGCAAAAGGAACAAAAGCTGCAACTAGATATATTTCATTTCAGGGACATTTAAGGAAAGGACAAGCATTAGCTAATCTGGGGAAAACAGAAGAAGCTTTAAGAGAGTTTCTATTCTGCCTTGCTCTAGATACTGGGAACAAGACGGCCAAATCTGAGGCTCAAAAGGTGAGTTCCCTAAATTGTCTAGACCTGTTTAATCGTTTTCAGTGATCCGTTGTAACGAGGAAAGAAAACATTAAGTAGACACTGTGGAAACAGTTATGATCTTAGCATCGGCACAAGAGAGATAAAATGGAGCTGCTAATAATTGCCACCCACAGATTATTATGGTTGCCTGTAATCAAACTTCTAATCTGTTTCCCAGTTTGGCAATGCATTTCCAGTTATTGAGTGCAAAAGAGGGGGAGCTACTTGTTAATATTTTATCAGGCTACCGAGTGGTAGAAGGCAACGTGCAGCAGCCTTGCAGCTCCACTTGGGAGCAGCAGCTCTCTGCCTTTGGGCCTCACGCACTGCTCCAAGACTCGGCGTGTGCAGGGGCCAGGAAAGGAATCACTCGGCAAAAGAAGAGATTATGTTTTAAAATTGTTTCAGTGATTGCTAATACTTGATGCTAAATAAGCAGTATAGCAGATCTGCAATAAGCCTTTTTCGACAGGTTTTCGTCAGGTTTTGGTGAAAACTGTTAGTTCCCTTTTGTATACCACTTAAGAACTAGTTATGGTTTCTTTTTCTGGAATGAGTAGATGTTTTTACCTTTGACCATTTTTGTTGTTGCCAAGTGATTTAGCATCACAGCAAGGATGGCCTATGAGAATAAAAATATGATAGATATTATGCTCTGCCTTTATTTTATTGAATTCTCTTTTTATGGCAGTGTATTCATGCTTTTGTCTGTGGCTGGTGGGATGGGAAGTTTTGGTGGTCTTAGTGCTGTGATGTGAAAGACTTTATAAAAGCAGGGTAGAATTCTTAGAGTAAAGCTCTGCTCACACAGGTAACTGAGAAAGTGTGGCCTGGGTCTTGCAATCAGATTTTTATCAGATTTTGTATGTGGTTGAGATTTCCATTTCCTGCAGGATTTTCTGTCATTGTTCTTTTTATTCATCTTTTTTTCCAGCATGTTCCATAGGGTCTTTCACTGTCATTGTATCATGATTTGTTCTGGTAGTCATGCTGGGAGGCTTCCTGTGTATAGAGTAAGAAAAGCAAGAACAACAGATATGTTTCTAAATTCAGACTCCAAATAGCCTTGTGCAAGAGAGCTAATTTCTGAGCAGTGGGGTTCTGAAGAAAACTATGCTGCTTGCAACTGAAAGAATTGCTTGTGCACTCATCAGATACAGAGTTCATCCATGATGTAATATTTTGTTGGGTCATTTCCAAGTCTGTTTGCATAACAATGACATACTATTTTTTACCAAATTCTTCAGGCGTAGCTATGACGTTCTGTTTGTGTTATCTGTCCTTCCACGTTAGTTTTGACAGAGTATGATCCCGTGGAATCTTTTTGTCTTTAAAAGGAAATCTTGGCTATCATGTGGCTTCTTCATGTATCAGCAGGATCATCCCAGTAGTGTGCTGGAATTCATTTTAAAGCATGTGAATTTTCTGTGCACCTACCCTTCCCCGCCCCCCCCATCTCTCTTCCTTTGACTAATCATCTGATGAGCTGTACTCTAGTGCAAATGGCTACAAGTTGTTGATGCTGATTCACTTATTTTCTGATATCAAATGGAGGCTGTTTTTTCCTATTGCCTTTTCTCTTTTTTTGGTGTTGTCACATAGTTGAATTTAAGTAGTTGTAATTTACAGTGTTGGAGACAATTACTTGATTGAACATGGATTAAACCAGTGAGATTTCTGTACTAATTAACTCCAATGAAAGTTTCTGACATGCAGTAAAAGTGGATTTGAAAGGATGTTAATAAATCCTGTTGAGCTCTAAAATGCAGAACAAGAGGACATGTTTATGCCACTTATGGAGAACGTTTAATAATGTAAGAACTAAGCAGTGAAGTATTCTGTTCTATATTGCAGCTTCTACTTAGTTTATTTTCACTCATCCCGGGAAATGCTCAGGAACACCTACCTGATATCCTGCAGCTGTTGTCGCATCACTCTAGATTAAAGGGGAATCTCCTAAATTCCGTTGGATCTGGAGGCACCAGCCATAGCCTACAAAGGTTGCTCAAGGTAAAGAAATCTGATGTGTGGTTGTTAATTTCGCTGTGTGTTTTAGGTTCACAGTGGGAAGTTGTCTTCTCCTTTACATCTCTGGGAGACTGGATGATGCATTTCGGAAGATACGATGTAACTTAATGGATTCTCTTTAGCTGATTCTTCTCCGTTTAACAAAATCTTTCTTCCTTTTTTTTTTTTTTTTTCTTGTTTTGTTTTTGTCAGAATTAAGAAAGGTACTATAGCTGTAACTGTCCTTAGCTCTTCAAAGAAATGGGTAGTAAAGAGCCTCCGAAGTGAAGTCAGTTGGAAAGACAGTTCTCATCTCTCTGTACACTAGGTATCCCTACAGCTTCTGATCATAGGTACTTTGAGGTTCTTCTGGGGGAGTTGGTGTGACAAGCTGATAGGTGATGATCTGTGGAATGGCTGTGAATATGTTGTAGTAATGATCATTTTATCCCTTGTGAAAGAAATCAGTTTTGCTGAAGGAGCCCCATGCACTTTGTCTTTTGTAAATTTTGTTTCCTTAGAATAAAACTTGCATTGTTTTTGTTGGTTTGATTGATATTGATGGTTGACAATACATCCATCAACAATACATTCAATATACAATACAAACAATATATATTTTTCCACAGACTAACTGATAGCAATGTGCCATGCTGAGATTTAATCACATTTCCGCATGAATCAAGTTTCATGACCAATCCATAAAGCCCTACAGAGGCTGAAAAAATCCAGTGATAAGGGGGGAGAGGGAAGGGTTAGTTAGAAAAATATTTTGGTTAAAATCAGACACTGAGGAGGTACTCTCAAACTGCTGTGTCTTGACCTCCAAAGTCTTTCTTGATGATCCATAATATTAAGGCTTGTTACAGGGTGTATGTTTGTGTTTTCTTTATGAAGTTGTTTGACGTTTTTAATGTTCATCTTCTCTTTCTACAGATAAATGTAGAACAGAAAAAGAGTTTTCCTGCTCAAGAGGAACAAAATGTAACAACATCTGGCAGTTTGAAGAAATCTGTACAAATTACAGAGAGTAAAAGGGACTGCTTGGAGGAGGAGAACAAACTCGCCTCCATATCAGAGTCTGCCTTTCTCATTTCGGAGAAGTGCAACCTTCTGAAAAGAAAGTGTTGCTCTGAGGAGATGAGAGGTGCTGAGGTACCCTCTAAACTCATGAAGAAAGGTATGTTTAAGCACAGGATGAATTCCATAAAAGGTAATCAGTGGATTTTTTTTCTTATTTGTACAGGAAGAGGCTTCAAATTAGGCTTATATATGAATATGTACAGCTTTCATATGGATGTATGAAAGCTGTACGTGTTTCGGCACTTTCCGTATCAAGTAAAATATGTATGCTATGCTTAAAAGCATGAATTCTGTTTGATATCCAAGATTCAGCCTTGTTCTTGTGTTGTGGGATGTAGATTTTTAACACTAAAATGTATTTTGATGTTAATGCAAGGCTAAATTCATCCTTCTGTTAGTGGCCATAATGCTACAAAAACTAAAGGGAGGTGTGCTCCCTTTGTGCAGAATTTGATGCTTTGCACAGAAATTATTCTAATGATGCTAGTAGCTCAGTAGTTTGCCAGTAAATACAAAGCATACTTTAATAGCAGATACTGTTTGTGGATACGCAGAAGAAAAATCTCTTTGAAATTCTGCATTGCTTATGTAGTTGTGTCCGATCATATATTGTAATATGTTTTATTATTATTGACAGATACAGTTGACATCAAGGAAAGTAGTGCTGTGCACCATATTCCATTTGAATTTGTGGATCCATCAGATCTGGACTGCTCCCTGTGTATGAGGTAATCATTGTTCTCTCCCACATGTCTTTAGTTTTCAAGTGTTATCTTTCTCTTGTATCATCTGAAGATTTTCTAGTTTACTTATTTTTCTTCTGACTTGAAATCTGCTTCTATTACAATGATTATTCCATTAATACGTTTCTTGTTCTTTGGTTCTGAGCACTGTTGATGAATACAAACTATTTGATCTGGCCAAGAGCAGTGATTGTTTAAGACAAGACAGATAAGGTCATGTGAGGGCTAAGCGCATTAGTGAACATGTCTGAAAGATTTCCCCGCACCCAGTTACACGCGCCCACTCACAGATGCACGTCATGCACAAGACCACAGTTTGTCCTTTGGAATTAGTAGAGCCATATATGCCATTGTATAATGCATAAAATAGCACAGGGAGCATGTTCTATGAATATTCTAAGTTTGCATGTAAAATACAATGTTTCTGCTATTGCAATATGAGGATCGTACAAGAAAAGAGTTTGTTGTAGTTGTTTCCTCCCTCATCCCCCCAGCACTCAAATGTGATGTGCTGAATGCCTGCTTTAGTTAGCTAAGGTCACGGTAACACTTGCTTCATGAGCTCCTCTTTCAGTTAAATAACAGAGTTATTCTCAAGGACATCAATGACTTAATCCTAACAGAATTACTAACTCCATCAATTTCACTACTTGTTTTGTAAAAACATTAATATTGGCAAATGCACATGAGGGTTTTTGTTACTGCAAATTCCTCTGCACTGAGTTTTGTTTCTGCTGTCTTTTTAATTACGTAAACTTATAAACAAAGTATGTTGGCATTAGTCTTGCACTGTATTTTAGATTCTTAAATAGCAGGTGGCCTCTTCATGGAATTTATTTATTTATCTTTGAAAGGCTTGAAAAAAAATGTGGATTCCTTTTGTTGTTTAAATGCTGCTGGAGAAAACTCAATTGATTTCAAACAGAATGAAATTTTTGGGGGAATAACTGCTGTGTTGTTTACATTGCTTCTGCTTGGAACAAATCAGGTCTGCCCATTCTCCCTCTGCCTGCCTACTGCTGAAACATGCTCCAGAAGTTTACACAGCTGCCAAAACCCTTATACTGCTAAGAGCAAAACTTTCCTCCAGTGCAAAGCCATGCAATTTGTCTTTGGAGTATTTAAGGAGTCTGCATGTTTATGATGATTGTGTCCAAACCCACATTTTTAAAGAGGTTTCTAATAAAATTAACCCTATTTCCTCACCTTCTATGTTAAATCATAAATGGCTAAACTACAATACATTCTTAAAGGAATTAGCTTAAGGATCTCTGGTTCCCTGAGAGTTTAAGGGATGCTAGTACTGATTCTATATTTGCAGTCACAAATATAGCCCTTACATCCTGAGATGTGTAAACTTAGCCTTCATTACACCAATGAAGGTTTGCACTAAGAGAAGCTGTCACAAGACCTTTCTTGAGTATTACCATTAATGCAAATTGATTGTAATTATTTCCTGCCATGTTCTGAAGCATTTGGATTCTGAGATACCTTGGACCAATTACCTAGTAACCTACTGATCTATTTGCTATAAACTGCAGGAGCTGTTATTAACCTCTCTGTCAGATGGAGTGGCAAAGTGTTATTGATCTGTGTTCACTCCAGCAGCAAGCAGGAAATAGGAACTAATGGTAAAACAGTGTATTGGTGAGAAGCGAGAGCATTACTCAGCAGAAGCAGTTATTTGGTTTCCATCATTATAATAGCTTAAAATGCTGTGACATGAAATCTTTCTATGTAGTGTTTCTTTCTCTAAGTCTTGAAGTTCAGTCCAGGCCCTGTTAGTCACTGGGAAAAGCTGTGCTGGCTTCTCTGAGAGCTAGACCAGGATCGCGCATTCTAACAGGAATTTCTTGTCTTTATGCTAACATTTCAGAACAAGTAAGTCACTGCTGATTAATTACATATGGAAACAAATGCTTACTGCAACGTATTTTCAACTGGGTGTTTTACGAAGTTCAAAGGAACAAGTAGCCTTTGTGCTGTGAAGTTTGTTTGCTAAATAATTTACAATGAAGGGTTCTCAGTTATACAGTCAAGTTGCAGTGAGATAGGTGTGCCTATATCTTCATATATTTCTTGTTTAAATGCCAGTATTTTTAGTAACTGATATTTAATAAACTGGCTATAGCAATTTTGAGCCAATTATGTGCTTAAGCATAATCATATTTAATTATTAATAAACATGGGTTTACATATTTATAATTTCCTCCTGTGAAACAGCATCTTAGTTTGTTCCTTTGGTAAACTGTAATATTAAGTAAACTTCTAAATTTACTTAAACTAAAACTGATACTTGAGACCTTAACATGCTTAGATAACATTGTAAAAATTCTTTTCTAGTTTTGAATGTATTACTTTTTAAAAGTTTTCATATTTTTTGCATTTCATGAAGGTTCTAATTGGTAAGGCAACATTTCTTTGCAATATCATATAATCACAGTATCATATAATCAAATAATGCAAACAAAATTCCCTACGTGGAAATAAGCGTCTCAGAGGTACTTAGATGTCTAAAGATTAGACACTGAGATGCCCTGAAGACCTGGCCTCCAATATTTAAATTCATGCTTCATCTAGAAAAATATTTAATGTCATTTGTTTTCTAGAAAAGCAGTCATTTGAAGGTTAAAAACTGTCTGTATTGCAACAAATCTGCATTCCGAGTTCAGGTTAGAATTAGTAATAACATATTTAATTGCAGTAACCTTTATTTGTAGTGTTACTGCAAATAGCTATTTTGTGCTTAGTTCTACATGTAGAAGTGGTGCCACTGATCTCTACAAGAACACTTGGTGCAAGTCTTGTTCACTTGCACTGGAGACACTAAGCAGATTCAAGCTCTGCTACTATTCACTGCTCACATAAGCTAGGATTTCCCTTTCCTCAATCTGAAGTTAGTGACCCCATTCCCCCTTGCATTCCCTGAAATCGGAATTCCCGGGCTGCCTCCTGTATTGGGAGGCGATAGCGAAGTGTATAAGCAGAATAAGTGTAACAGTTGGATGAAGAAATGAAAAGCAAGAAAAAGCTTCCTCCCTGAAGTGCAAAATCAGCAGTTAAATTAGTGAATGAATACAGCTGTTTTGGTAACAGCTTTTTCTTTTAATTTGGTACACGATATTGGTGTCTTTGTGTTTGGATTTTCCGATCCAGGCTCTTCTATGAACCTGTCACTACGCCTTGTGGGCACACATTCTGTCTCAAATGCCTTGAGAGATGCCTGGATCACAACCCAAAATGTCCCCTGTGCAAAGAAGGTCTCTCGGAGGTAATTATGCATGGATTTGGTCTGCATAAATTGGAGCACAGAATAGGATCAGGCAGCACCTTTAGAAACCTTTGGTATTGCCAAACTTGAAAGAAATATTACACGCTTTAAGGAAAAAAATGACTTTTAGAATGTCCTGGGGACTAACAAGATGTGGATAATCTCTGTTCAAACTTTAAGACTGTGTTTATATTTGGAAATTCTGGAAAGGGAAGACAAATGACCTCAGGATTGGCTAATACAAGGCCTGCAGTTCAGTGAATAGTTCAGCAAACAACTCCACTGGTGTCAGGAGCTTAGGGGATCGTCTGTGTGTGCAGTAGACAGAGCAACACAGAGCTAGCAGGCAGAGGCCCTGTGCTTTGAAGTGCCAGACATTATCTAATAACTGCTTCTCCTTTTCTGCTGCAGTGCTTGGCTATGAGGAAATACTGTAAAACGGTACTAATGGAGGAGCTGATAGCTAAATATCTTCCAGAGGAACTCACTGAAAGAAGAAAGATTTATGAAGAGGAAATAGCGGAACTTTCAAAGTATGTAATCGATTTATTTAAAAAACAGTATCTAATAGCTACCAAATGGCTGCTGCTGCTGTGGAACATGAACAAAAGTGCTGACCAAGGAGCTTCTTGCTCTGTATCACATGATTCAAAGAGGACAGAGTCCAGGTGAAATTATGCTTTGAGTAGCATTATTAGACACTCTGCTATACGATAAATGGAAGCAGAAGAGATTCAGGTGAGTTGCAGAAATCCATGTCATTGCTTTCTGTGGCCCTTTATGAAAACACCAGAATGAAAGAATGGGCGGAGGAAGAGGCCCACAGGCTGGGGATTGGAAATTACTGTGTAGAGAAGAAAAGGGATTAAGGAAAGTAAAATAAAGTAGAAACAGTAGTAGAAATTTATTAACACTTTTACTAGCAAAACGAGATAGCGTAACTAAAAGTTATTCTGCTAAAAACACTGGAATATCAATTTGCATTTTATCTAGCCAGATACCAATTTTAATTATAGTTTTTACTTAAACTAAATCAAGATTTTTATTCTAAATACACTGTAATTTCACTTTAAACTTACTGTCATTTCAAAGAATATATCACTGCATAAAGCGTATGTATTTTATCTCTGCAATATCTTGGTAAAATGTCATCTCTGTTGTTTCCTTTTTTACAGCCTAAATAAGAATGTTCCTATATTTGTCTGCACAATGGCTTATCCTACAGTCCCATGCCCTTTGCACATCTTTGAGCCGTGTTACCGACTGATGATTCGCCGCTGCATGGAGACGGGCACCAAACAGTTTGGGATGTGCATCAGTGATCCCGTCAAGGGGTGAGTGAGCAACCTGCTTGGACCATGTCATCTACTCACTTGGTCTGGGACAAATCCAGGGAAAAGGTGCAGAAAGGTCTTTGCTTCTAGATGTTTATGTGATAGTCTTCCAACAGAGAAAGTTTCTTTCTAATTATGACAATTAGTGACAGTGAGAAGATCAAAGTTTGCTTCTTGAGCACTTGGATCCTGTCTAGTATGACTGCCCATTGCTTTGAAACCTACAGCTAGAGCTAGTGTTTATTATAAGGGATGGAATGGAGGAAAGTTTACAAGTTTCATTACATTCTAATACTCTGAACTGCGCTGGTTCTTTTGTACCAAATGATGTAATATTTCTAGATTTATATAAACACTGGGGAAAGTCTACTTAGCCACGTAATACCTACATTTTTTTTCAGAAATTCTGTGTATTCCAAAGTATGTAGACAGCCTGAATCTTCCTAATAGTTTTGAAAACAATTGTTAATAATTTGAACTATAGCAGGACAGTACTATGAGCAAATAAATAGAAATGAGCTGACAGATAAATACCTTTGTGGTATTGAACCGGCTGTATGGCAGTCCTAAGGGTGGAGAGAATAAGGCTTTTTTACTTGCTTTTGTTCTGATTTTAAATAGGTTTGCAGATTACGGCTGCATTCTGGAGATAAGAAATGTTGAATTCTTTGCTGATGGTCGCTCTGTTGTAGACAGCATTGGCAAGAGGAGATTTAAGGTGATACAGCACAGCCAGCGTGATGGCTATAATACAGCAGATATTGAGTACATTGAGGATCAAAAGGTGAGCCTAGAAACACTTCATATAAAGCATATGAATCTGAAAATCTACATCTTATTTTCAGTGAGTTCTTTTTGGTTCAGCATTTTTTTTTCTAGTAAAGCAAACTGTGGTATTTACCAACTGGTTGTGGTTAAAGATGGGGGAAAAAAGTATTTAATCACATGCATACAAACACAGCATTTTTGGCAGAATGCTTTCTTAAAACAAAATGAATCCAGCATGAGATATTACTGCTGTTCTAGATCATGGGGGTTTTTTTTTTTTTTTTTTTTTTTTAAGTCTATAATATAGACACAGGCTCTGGTCTCATGGAAGCCAATTGGAAAGCTTCCATTTCGGTAAGTGGGAGCAGGACTGAGCCCATTACAGCTTTTATATTATTTATGTTTAAATAAGCAAGCAAGCAAAGTATTCTGGGTGATGTATCTTTTGCTATATAGTGGTAAGATGGTTCTATTCCAAGGAGTCTAAATTGAAATAAAATTGCACAAAGCTTTTGTTCTGTGCTGGGTAAACGAGAAACTTACGTAAAGGTGATTTCATACCCGTAGTTTGGAAAATATTTTGCTGATAAAGAGCAGTGTCTCCAGCAGGTCGAGGGAGGTGATCCTGCCCCTCTACTCAGCCCTGGTGAGGCCGCATCTGGAGTATTGTGTCCAGTTCTGGGCCCCACAGGACAAGAGGGATGTGGAGCTGCTGGAGAGAGTCCAGTGCAGGGCCACAAGGATGATCAGGGGCCTGGAACATCTGCCTTATGAGGAGAGGCTGAGGGAGCTGGGCCTGTTCAGCCTGGAGAAGAGAAGGCTGAGAGGGGACCTGAGCAGTGTCTATAAGTACCTCAAGGGAGGCAGTGAGGAGGATGGTGCTGGCCTCTTTTCACTGGTGGCCACTGACAGAACTAGAGGACATGGCCGGAAGCTGAAGCATCAAAATTTCCACAGGAACTTAAGGAAAAAATTCTTGACAAGTGAAGGTGCCAGAGCGCTGGAACAGGCTGCCCAGAGAGGTTGTGGAGTCTCCTTCTCTGGAGATCTTCAAAACCCGCTTGGATGCAGTCCTGCGCCACGTGCTCTAGGTGACCCTGCGT